AAAATAACTAAGAGCCCAACCAAACCCCGGGGACCCGGACGCGGCGCCGAGCGCTCCCCGCAAAGACGAGCCCCGGGGCCCCCCCGAGGCAAAAAACCCCGGCAGCCAAATCCCTGGAGCAGAGAAAACCGGACCGTTCAGTGTAAATTCTCCTTTTTCTCGAAGGCTACCTCACAGCTGTGGTTTTCTTTTTTTTTTTTTTTTTGCCTGTTTTTTTTTTGCCTCCAAGTAGTTTTAGGTTCGTCTGGGGTTTTTCAGCCGTGCCGGGACTTTCCTGCCAGGTTCACAGCAAAGGTGCTAAGTTTTGTCTGTTTTTTTCCTCTCCTTTTTGTTGCTACGCTTATTTTTTCCCCCCGCTCTGTTCAAGGTCCGTCTGGAATCACAGGAATTTCTTTTTTTTTTCCCCTCTCTTTTTTACACCCTGAGTTTTTGTCCTTTTTAATTTTTTCTCCTCTGCTTTGGTTTTATTCCGGTCTCACCGCGCAGCCTCAGCCCTGGGACCACTTGGTGCTACAGACACAGGAACCGTTCCAAAAGACGCGAGTCTTGGGTTGAACTCTTTTATTTTTTCCCCCTCTTTTTTTTTTTTTTTTTCTTTTTTTCCTCTTTGCTGCCCAGGTCGACTTGTGAATTTTCTAAAGGTGCTATTCCCCCCCCGCCTACACACACACACACGCATCCTTAAAGCGAGGCGCGGAGACAAAACACAAGGCAGAGCCAAAAAAATAGAGCCTCGGAAGGGATAGAAAAGCAGGCGAAGCAGCCCTGGTTCCCAGGTTAAGCAGGTGCATCTCATTTCTGTCTCCCCTTCCTCCCTCCATCCCTCTTCTCCCTCCCGCTCCTCCGCCGCTCTCCCCTCCCCCCCGGCTCCTTCCCCCCGCCTCTCCTCTTCCTCGCTCTTCCTCGTTCCCTCTCCGGGGGGAGCCGGGACGGGAGGACCCGAACCCACCCCGTTTGCGAGCCCATCTCCCCGCCAGGCGGATGGGCCCGGGTGTCCGAGGAGTCTGTACCTAGTTTGTATATGTATAAAATAATTTGAGATGTTTTTAATTATTTTGACTGCTGAAATAAAGCATGTGAAATGATCCAACAAACCTGCGCGCCTCTGCCCTGGTCTCTGGGTCC